TGAAACATATCCATTTATTCAATTTAAATAAAACCAGTCAAGGAAGCTTCAAACTTTAAGAAGTCTAGCTTCCTGTGAAATGTCAGTACTGATTTAACAACAAATCCATTGCTGGGTCAGGCATTCTTGGAATCAGTTCCATTTAACAACTGTTACTTTGGGACCAGCAGGTGGTGTGGTGGTTAAGGTACTGGATTCCCACATAGCTGACTGTGGCAGGAGTCCTGGTGGCTTGAAAATCATGCTGGGTGCTTGTGTGTGCATGCCCAAAATCCCAGGAGAATGGAGAAAGGATTGGCCATGCCAATCTCACTCTCTTTCTCTTTGTCTCTCTCTGGAGAGTGGGCATGCCCTATGGCAAAACACAATGTTACTTTGTGCCGAGTCATGTGCTAGGTACTGAAAACAGAAGATGAAGGCCCTCCTTGGTGTCTACATGGTGGAGGTTTACGTGCCAGATAATAAACAAGTAATAAAATAGATTATACAAGGGCTGTGAAGGATGCCAGCTGAGTTCTAGTTATAGTAGTATTTTCAGAGAATTATACACTGATTTAACATCATAAATGTCTGCTCCTGTGTGCACACAGGGTAGACCTGTGAAAAGCAGTGTCATTCCTTCTAGATCGTTGTGTCATGTTGGGAGGTTCCCCATCCTGGTGTGAAGGGCTATTTATTTGGATTCAAGCCCTCTCTATTAAGACTGAAATGCCCACCCCAAAAGTGCTCCTACAGAAATTTTGGAGTCACTGTTGATTCTATGGTAGCCCCTTCCTAATAGAGTGATGAATGCATTCTCAAACATGGAACAAAGGATCCTGAGGTTTAGAGGAAATGGCAGCATTTTGGAATGAGTAACTGGAAGGTGTGAGCTTCTGCCTCCCCCTCCCCCTGCATGTGACACCTATTTTTCAGGTCAGTTGCTTTTCGTGGGAGCAGTACAGCCAAGAGGAGGAAGACTATCTTTCAGATTTCGCCTTGGAGTAGGAAGAGTTCAGGCTACCAGAACCAGACCAGCACTTCAGAAGGTCTGAGAAGCCAGGCCCTGCGATTTCCTTAGGAAGATCTGGTGCTCCCCATTCCAACAGGGTCTGCGGCCCAACTCTTGTCTCACTATGGAAGGGTCAGGGGACATCTGTCACATCTGAAGGGAGAATGGAGAGGGAAAGCCTGGGAAAAGGCTCACCCTGGTGGCACAAAGACTATCAGGGCCCCAGCTTAGTAAAGGTTACATAAAAACCAGCCAGTCCTGGGACCAGCAGTTAGTGTAATGGCTATGTTGCTGGACTCCCATGTAGTCAACCGTGGTTCGTGTCCCGGACCCAGTGGCTTGAAACTCACGCTGGGCGCATGTGCATGTGTCCCCAGGATCCCGAGAAGAGAATGGAGGAGAAGGGATTGCGGCGTGGCCATCCCCCCTGAGGGGTGATTTCTCACTTTCTGTCTCTCTGTCTCTTTCTGTCTGGCGAGCGCATGTGCCCTATAGTAAAAACCTCTAAAAAAAAAAACAAAAAAAACAAAACAAAACAGCGAGTCCTCACTTGATGACTTACCTCTTTTACAGCTGTCCTGACTTAAGACCAGTTTTCTAGCACTGGGAACCCCCTTTCTTAGTCTATGTGACTCGAAGCCCTTCAGGGCCCCAGCTTAATAAATGTTGCATAAACTCAGCTGCTCCTCACTTAATGACCTACCTCTTTTGCAGCTGCTTGGACTTATGAACAATTCTCCAGCATTGGAAATCCCCTTTCTCAGTATTTGTTTCATTCCTGCAGTCTGTAAGGATTCAGTATGCAAAATGTTCACAGCCACACAAGACTACACATTTTGTTTTTAAATTTGTACCTACTGATCTGAATGACTAACTTTTTGGTACATCATTATTATAATTTTTTTTCTTTTTTTGGACCTTTTCATTATTCAGAATAAGAAGGGTTATGCCAGATTTATATTAGTGTGTTATAGTATGTCTTGTAATTATCTGGTTCTTATCTAATGTATGCTTTTTGTATGGATAGAATTATAATGTTCTAATATGGGGTCTAATGATATCTATTGTAAAATACATTCTTTGTGGTGCCACCACACACCTCAAGACATCTGCCTTTAACCACTTTGCTTATTAACCAGTAACACTTAATGACCTAGGAACAGAACTCTGTTGTAGCTAAGTAAGGGGTGCTTGTGAAGGCCTCATAACAAAGGGCGGGGCAGGGCAGTGCTGGTTAGGCGCATGGTTGCTAAGGGCTGTTGCCTGTGTTGGCAGAGCCTGCCATAATGACTCAGGCATCCTGCTGGCTTGGATCACTGTGCTCAAAGCCTTCCATGGTCATGTTCACGTTATCCCTCTAGACATGGCAGTTCCTCGAATTACAACCATTGTGTTTGCTAGTCCAAGGGGGACAGCCTTCAGACTGAGCCCAAGCCCCGGACCCATGATGTCTTGAGTCCTGGTCTTTTCACCCCTCCCATCATCCAGCCAAATCACCCCATCATCTTATACATTTGGCAGACCATGCGGAATTAGAGTACCTGGGGCCTTCTGTTCCTGCTCAGATATCAGCCCCACCAGATCTTCCTCAGGAGTTAGGTGAAACTTTGGCTCCATTCGTGGACATGGATTCAGCTCAAGAGCTGTTCCCAGAGCCAGATCAGTTTGCGGTTCCACATTAGGAACTTCATGACAAATTCACCCGGCAAGAAAGGCTCCCAGAGGTGGTTCCAATAATAGACTGGGGTCAGAACCAACATCAGGATGCAGATCACCAGTGGTTTGAAATACCTGTTCTGTCTCTGGATAGTCAGAGCACAGAAACAGCAAAGTTTGTTTCATCCTCGAATCTGAAAAAATGTCTGACTCAGCATCGTTGCTTTGCCAAGGTTGTGGTTGGAAAGGTTGTGGTTGGAGCTCCAGACCAATTTGTATCCGTACCTCCGCATCAAAGACCTACCTTATTACAGGTGGACTCAGATGAGTCTCCAGAGTCATCTGAGCAAGTTGAAACTTCACAATTCCATCTAGAAACCAAGACTCAAAATTCTGAGGAGGAGCAGATCTCTTCACCCCAGAAAGAGGCGCCAGCTCCACCTCCACAGCCCCTTAAAGAGGTTGAACCTTCAACCTAGCGGGAAGCCCCAGCTCAGGAACCACTTGCTGCTGAAGATGATGCAGCTCAGCCCTCAGTTCCATCTCTGGGTCTGAATGAAGCTCAGCACTTGCACTTGCCCAGTGTCACTTGCCCAGTGTCAAAAACCTGTGGCTCAGGATTTTGTGATACCTAGAGAGGCAGGAAAGGGGGTTGAACCTACTCCAAACCAGGAGCAGGCCCCAGCTCAGCCTGCAGAGGGCCCTGAGGGGGTGGAAGCTGCAATCCACGAGGAGGCCCCAGCTCAGTTTCCAGACCTTCCTCTGGATGCTGAATCTCTGTCTGAACAGGAGCAGCTGGCTGAGGAGGCTGAAACTTCAGACCTGCAGCAGGCCTCATCTCAGTCTCCACAGAATAATAAACCATAGTTATACCTCCAGGTCACAGTCAAGATCATTATTCAGTCTTGCCGAATGTCCTTAAACCTGCGGGTCTGGAGTTTACCATAATACAACCTGCTGGTGTGGGAACTTCTTCAATCCACCACAAGGCTGCATCTCAGGCTTTAGTGCCAATTACTAATGAGCAACTTTATGAAACCCAGCATGAGGTCCCAACTCTGGCTACAGAACCTCCCAAGGCACTTGAACCTTTTCCAGTTCAACAGGAGGCTGTCACTCAATCTCCAGAACCTGCTAGGGATGAAAAACTGTCCACAGCCCAGCAAGAGGCCACAGCTGAGCAATCACAGACACCTGAGGAGGTTGAACCTTCTGTAATCAGAATTTTGCTAGCAGAGCTTGAAGCTGCAATCCAAAATTCACAGGCCACTGATGTCAAGCCCTTTGAAAGTCATCAGGAGGCCCCAGTTCAGCTTCCAGCGTCTCCTGTGGAATATACCGATTATCCTTTGCTGAGTGATGAGATAACATTTTTACCTCTACCTTTGTGTAAAACTCAGGATCCCATGGTGCCTAACACCAAAGTTAAACATGTGGCACTGGGGCTGGTAACTCCAGAACCCACTACGGAGGTTGAATATTCTCCAGTCCAGCAGGAAGACCTTATTCAGCCTCTAATTGCCACTGGGGAGGTTGCATTTTCTCCAACCCAGTCTAATCCTCTTTCCCAGTCTCAAGAACCCCATATAAAATTTAAATCTTCTCCAGCCCATCAAGATGCCATAGCTCAGACTCCAGATGCTGTTAAGAAGGTAGAACCTTCTCCAGACCTGTTGGCAGAGCCTTCTTCGGCCTTTCAAGAGGCTCCTCCTCAGCTTCTAAAGCCCCCTAATGAGCTAAAACCCTCTTCAGTCAAGCAAGTGGCCCCTGTTCAGTCTCCAGAGACTCGTATGATGGTAGAACATTCTCTTGATCAGCAGAGGGGCCCATCTCTACCTCCAAAGCTCTCTGAGGAGATGGAACCACTTCCAATCCAGCAGGAGGACACAGCTCCTCCTACAAAGCCACTTAATAGGGTGGAATCTGCTCTAGTCAAGCAAATGGCCCCAACTCAACTTTCAGAGCCACGTAAGGTGGTTGCAGCTGAAAGTCCAGCATCTTATGAGATGACAGTTCCAACACCAGGTCATCAAACTCAATCTCCAACACTGCCTAGTGTTGGATTTCAGCCTTTGTATCTGATGCTTACCATAAGTCAAGAACCCACAGTTTAACCATTGGACATAGTGGTTACCATAACTGCAGGGATTAAACATCCTGCAACCCTGTCAAAGACTGTAGGTCCATATCTACACCAGGTTCAGACTCAGCGTCCAACCCTACCTCAAGACACACCTCAACCTTTGAATCTGGAAATTACCATAAATCAGCCACCACAGTCTTCTGAGTCAGTCTGTCTTCAGAAACTCTGATGATGACTTCTCAAATGGATTTAAATGTGCAACCAGAACTGATCACCACTGTGAATGGCAACCTGTGTGATCTCTGTAGCTGCATAAATGAGACATTGTCATGTGTGGGTCTCAACTCAAAGCAGAAGCTCCAGCAAGTGCCTGTGCCAGACCCCAGCATTCACAATGACACCTTCACCGTCTTGTAAGTATCACCTTTCCACATTTGTTCTCATCCTGCCTGACCTGGCAGCAATTTCCTCTATGTCTTCCTGGCCCTTCCTCCTCTCCCAAACCTATGTTGACTGACTTTCTGTTTTTACCTTTTGCTTGTCAACTTTTCTTTATCTTCATTCTTGTTACCACTATGCCCCTTCTAGTCTATTTCCTGTGATTGCCCTTAGTCTTCCTGCATTTTTATTTAGCCCCATGATATTGTTGCTTAACAACCTCTGTTCTTCTCCCATTTTAGCTTTACAGCAGCTTCTCCCTCTCCCCATCTCATTAGTGATAATACCACAAAGGGGTTAAGAGTGGGTTCTGGACTCAAATTGCCTCCAGGAGTTGGAACCCATGCATGTCCTTTATTAGTTTTGTGACTTTGGGCAAGTTATTTAACTCTGACTCAATTTCCTTGTTGATAAAATGGGGATTATGGTAGTTACCATTCCATAGGATTGTTGTGACCTTTAAAGAGTGAATATATGTAATACGTATATCACCGTCTGCTTACACATGAATGTTAGCTATCAATATTGTTATTATTCAGTCCCTCAGTTATATCCAGAGCTCATCTTTGTCCCTGGTGTTCTAGCACCCACTTTGTGTCCAGAGATAAGTACTGAGAGCCACAGAATTATGACACTGTCTCTAGAACATGAAGATGATAGGAGTGAAAAGGAGAGTAGGCATATAAAGGGGAGAGGGGTGATACATTATTAAGTAAAAATGGATGTAGACCATGGGCGCTGTAACTCCTCAGAATCTGTAAGGATTGCAATGTGGTGGTCAGGGAAAGCTGGATAAGCTAAACTTTTACCTGGGCTTTAAAAAGTGCCTTTGGGGCCAGTCGGTGGTAAGGTTGTTAAGATGCTAGACTCCCACATTGCTAGCCACGGTTTGAGTCCCAGACTTGATGACTTGTAAATCATACTTGCACACGTGTTTGTGTTTGTTTGTGGGCGCAAAATCCCTGGAGGAGAATGGAGAAGGATTGCCATCCCCCGAAGAGGTGATTTCTCACTTCCCCTCTCACCATCTCTTTCTTTCTCCAGCAAACACGTGCCCTATGTCAAAACCTAAAATTAAAAAAAATAAATAAATAAATAAAAAAGAGTGTCTATCATTTGTTAAATTAAAAAGAATTGGGAGAACAGCCTAGGCAAGGCCGTGGCCACAGGAATAATCAGGATTAGGTAGATCAGTATGGCTCCAAATAATTGGGTTGGGGAGCTGTATAAGATACGATTATGAAAACCTTGCATATCAACTACAGAGGTTTGAAAGTTATACAATGAGCTAGGAAGAGCCATTGAAAGTTTTCAAGCCCTGCCACCTGTAAGATAACCCATTACTATTTGTGTGTGTCCTTCCGATCTCTGTCCTTTGCATTTTTTCTAATGAGATAATACGTTAATTTTACCCAGTGTGTCCAGCATGATTTTCTTCTTTTCTTTTTTTCCAAGAGAGATTTTTGCTATAGGGCGCATGTGCTTGCCAGAGAGACAGAGCGAGTCAGAGAAACAGAAAGCGAGAAATCTCCCCCTTGGGGGGATGGCTAGGCCACAGTCTTCTGCTACATTATCCACTTGGGATCTTGGGCATGCATGCACACATGCTCAGCGTGTGTTTTAAGCTGCTGGGACCAGAACTTAAACTGCTGCAACCATGTGAGAGTCCAGTGAGGTAACCATTATGCTATTTGCTGGTCCAAACATCCAGCATGGTTTTCAAGCCACTGGGTCTAGGACTCGAACCATAGTTGGCCATGTGGGAGTCCAGCAATGTAACCACTGTGCCATCTGCTGGTCCCAACTTTATATATACTTCTCATAGTTGACTTCAACAGAGGGCACTTAGCCAAAGCTTTGGAGTTACCTGGCATAGAGGTTTTCTTTGCTGATAATCAAATTTTGCCCATTTCTCTGTTGAATTATTGATCATTTTCTTATTGGTTTATAAAGTAGACAATTTAGACACATAATGATTTGGGAGTAAAATAATTTAATTCTAAGTAACTGACATTATCCAAGAGGTAGGAAAGATAGTAAGTTTAGTTAGGAAAGATAGTAAGTTTAGTTTCCAGGGAGATAGCTAGCTCATCATTTGTGACAGTGGCCCCACATTATTTCTTTTTTTATTTAGTTTTTGTTGTCATGGTTATTTTTTAATTTGATCAGAGAGAGGCATAAAGGGAAAGTGAGAAAGCAAGACACTGGGTCTGGGCCTTAAACCATGGTTGGTCTCTGGGAGTCCAGCACTTTAACCACTATGCCACCTGCCAGTCCCCCACATTATTACTTTATGAATGATCTAAACTGGGAAGTTGAGATCTCTGGAAATTAGAAAGCTGGCATTATTTTCTGTACTTGACTGTCTCCTATATGATTGTCATGATTCTTTATGAATCTTTATCCTGTTCATTCTTTTCCTACCTATTCAAGAATATTAATTGTGTTTCTTCACAGAAATTTCCAAGGAAACTATTTTCTACATTGATAAAAATGTATGGAATTCATACCATTGGACTGAAAAACTGTGAGTATATTCTTATAGAAAAAAAATACTGCATTGTAAGAGCCATCTTTGTCCAGATGTATGTGTGTATGTATGTATGTGTGTGTGTATATATATTAGGGAAGAAACCTTTTTTTACATTTTATTTTATTATTGTTATTTTTTAACTTGACAAAAGAGAAAAAGCCTCCAGGTCCAGGACTTAAACCATGGTTGGCCATGTGGGAGTCCAGTGCCTTAACCACAATGCCATCTGCCAACCCCTTGAAGTCAATATTTGTATGAAATAGTATTTCCCCTTTCGTATCAACTGCCTGCATATTCTACATCAACCTTTATTGATTGCAATCTGTGATCATTTTAAAAATTAAATTTGTGGATGCTTTTCAAAATAAGACTATTTAAATGTATTTTCTATTATACAGCAATATATAATTGTGTTCTTCATGTGTAAAACTGAAATAGAGCCAGCCAGTGTTAATAGTGGTCAAGCAGCTAGATCTCACATGGCCAACTGTGCGTGCAGGAAGGGTCCCAGGTTCAGTAGCTTGAAAATCACACTTAGCACGTGTGCATGTGTGCCCCCCCAAATCCCCAGAGCATGGAGAAGTGACTGCAGCATAGACAGAGTTTCTCTCCCTTTTTTTTTTTTGGCTGTATCTTTCTGGTAATCTGCAAAAGCATATATTATTGGAATATATTTTTTTTCAGAGAGAGATTTTTGCTGTAAGGTGCATGCACAGACAGATTCAGACATAAAGTGAGAAATCACCCTGGGGGGCCAGCCTCGCTGCAATCTCTTCTCCTCCATTCTCCTCTTGGGATTTTGGGAATTCACTTACAAGCCCCCGGCGTGAGCTTTACCGCCAAGTCCAGGACTCAAATCTGTCAACTATGTGGGAATCCAGTGACTTAACCATTATGCCCTTTACTGGTCCCCATTTTTTCTTAAGGAGAGATTTTTGCAGGATCAGCAGATGGGGTAATGTTTATGTCACTGGACTCCCGTGTAATCGACCATGGTTTGAGTCCCAGATCCGTGGCTCAAAACTCACGCCAGGTGCTTGTGTATGTGTGTCCAAAATCCCAAGAGCAGAATGGAGGACAAGGGATTTTGGCATGGTTGTCCTCTCTAGGGGTGAATCTTCGCTTTCTGTCTCTGTCTGTCTTTCCAGTGAGCACATGTGTCTTATAGCAAAAAATCACTCCCTAAAAAAAAAAAAAAGGAAGAATGTAGGTATGGTAAATTGTAATTTCAAAGTAGTGATGAGAATAAATATATTTTGAGGTTGCTACAACAAAAATATGATATGAATATATCTGTGATGCCTATCTCCAAATATTCCCCAAGCCAAAAAATATTTTTGATTTGTTACCTAAATTTTTATAAAAATAGAGATGTAATTTTATTGATTTCCCAACCAAGTTTGGCCACCTGATTTCAATTCATTCTTTGCACAGACTTTTGCTCTAAAAGGGTGATCCACAAATGGAAATTGCATACGCATTTTTTTAACTTGCTAGAGAGTGCATATGCTTATCAGAGAGAGAGATAGAGGGAGAGTAGGAAAGTACCTCTCAACAGGACATGGTCATTCCACAATCCCTTCTCTTTCATTTGTGTATTGTATTAGAATTTGGGGACACACATGCACATGCAGCAGGTATATTTTTCAAGTCACCAGAGCTGGGTTTTACACCATGTGGTCAACCATGAGGGATATGGGTCCCCTAATGACCCAGTAACAGGGCCCTGCATACACATTTTTTGTGTATTCAAAAAGTGCAGTTTGGGAAGGAAAAGGGTCCATTGCATTTATGAGATTCTTAACGGGTTGTGGGGAAAAGACAGATATTCCTTTTTCAAAAATTTGCTGGAGGGTTTATGTGCTGGAGTGAAAGAGAGAGGAGGTGAGTTTTTTGTTGTTATCATTATTATTAATTTTTTTTTGGAGAGGTTCTTACTATAGGGTGCGATAGCTCTTCAGAGAGAGAGAGACAGAGCAACGTAAAGTGAGAAATCACCCCCCAGGGACGATGGCCACTGCAATCCCCTCTCCTCCATTCTCTTTTCAGGATCCTGGGCACGCATGCACATGTGCCTCGCCTGAGTTTAAGCCTCTGGGTCTGAGACTCGAACTGCTGTCGACTACATGGGAGTTCAGCAACATAGCCATTATGCCAACTGCTAGTCCCTTGTTATCATTATTAATGAGAACACTTTTCTATATAATCTTTAGTTCATTGTTTTCATGGGTGTACTGTCTGCTTACATCTGAGGATATTGATTCTGCTACTTTAAAGTCCTCTTGTGCTTTCTCTGCTAATTATGATTTGTTGGCTCTAAGATCCTATGTTTAGGTTTTTTGTTCTTAACGGAGTTGACTTTTTCATGTTTGGTCACTCCAGAGTGTAATTCATCCTCCTACTTGAAGTTCTACTGCTTCTACTTTCCAGCTCCAGGGAGAGGTGAAGTGTGAGGCTGGGATTTGTGTTGCAGATGGATTCATCTGAGAACAGGAAGGGGTGGGAGGTGGCCCCTGAGGGATATGACTATCACTGTTTAAGTTGGAAAAATAATTAAAATGATTGAAATTCAAGATTAGTTCCTTAGTCACATGAGCCAGTCTCAATACTCAGTAGCCGTATGTAGCTAGTGGCTTCCATATTGAGTATATAACACAGGCAGTGACTTACACTGACCTCAGCTGTCTGCAGTAAGATCCTGAATTTACAAGCAGAATATTCACTGACAGAAGATAGAAAAGAATACATATAGTATGATACCACTCGTATGAAGTACAAGAAGCAGCAAAATGAAATTATGTCATTCACATAGTAGGTCATTTAAAAAGCAAGGAAATTGCCATAAAGTTGGGACAGTGGTTCCCTCTAGGGGATGGGAGAGGGTTGTGATTAGAAGGAGGCACACTGGCTGGGGGCTTCTGGAACGCTAACAGTGTTCCTTCTTGACTTGAGAGTGCTACATGAGTATTTGCTTTATAATTATTAAACAACATTTGTGCTCTGTGTAATTTATGCATACTGTAGTTCTCAAAAAACTTTTGTGGAGAAAAAAATCAAATGGCTTCACTTGCAGCCCTGACATAGTTCCATGTGGGGCTTCTATAATGAAGTTTGGGAAGAGAGGAGGAAGTGGCAGCTCTGCTGGAGGGCAGTGGAGGACAGAGATGGACACAAGAAAGAGAATGTGAGAAAAAGTTTTAATTAGAAAGAGCAGATAGGATCAGCCCGAGGCATGTCCCTGTTAGAGTCCCAGCGGGGCTGCTCGGAAAGCACTCTGGGCTTGTATGTATGCATGCCCGAAACTCCCAGGAGAGAGAAACAGAGGAGAAGGAATTTCGACCCTACCCCATGGAGGATGCTTTCTCACTTTCCCACTCTCACTCTTTCTGGTGAGTGCATGTGCCTTCTGGCAAATTTAAAAAGAAGAAGGAGAGAGAACAGACATTACCATCTTAAAATGAAGTAAAAATTTGGGTATTCAGGTGGCACCGCTACCTAGGTTTCCTCCATACACGGGAGTTAGTCTTGTGTTGCAAATAAAAGTTGTGGTTAGATTGTATTTTGATCCAGCAATTACCTTTTCATTTTCTAGGATTCTCAGTGACAATGAATTGACCGAATTACACAAGGATTCATTTGAAGGCCTACTATCTCTCCAATATTTGTAAGTTAGCTCATTATTTATTTATGAGTTTTTAGTTACATTATCAATGAAAATGAATAAGGGCTTCAAATTAGATTATCTCTAGGATTTCTTCCTATAATAAAATTATGTAATTCCCCAAGTTTTTACAGTTTTGGTCCATCTCTACCATTAAATACCTCCCATGTATATATGATTCTTTTGTTATGTAGGCAAGATATAGATAGTAAAAGACTTCACTTATAGAGGGAAAGTAGTAGTAAGATCTGAGCAATTACTAGCACATATATGAATTTGTTTTATAGGATTTAATATATCTGCTTATATTTATATTTAGTCTGTGGGTCATGGGTCAAATCCAAATCACTTTTCATACATCCTGTAAGTTAAGTATAGTTTTTATGGGGCCACAATGTGGCAGGGTGGTTAAGGTGCTGGACTTTCACGTGGCTGACCACAGTTCAAGTCCTGGACCTGGCAGATTGATATTTATGTCGGGCACATGTTTGTGTGTGTTTGTGTTTGTGTATGTGTGTGTGTGTGTGTGTGTGTGTGTGTGTGCCCCAAATCCCAAGAGGACAATGGAGAAGGCTTGTGGTATGGCTATCCTTCCTGTGTGGATGATTTCTTGCTTTCTGTCTTTCTCTCTCTCCCATGAGCATGCACATACCCTAAAGAAAAAAATCTCTCAAAAAAAAAAGAGTATTTTTGCATTTTAAAGATCTGTAAAAGAAAAATGAAGAACACGTGACAGAGACCAAATGTGTTCTGCAAAACTTAAAATGCTTATTTTCCTGCTTTCATTTTTAAAAAGGTTGAAAAGGTTGGTTTAGCAGAAAAAAAGAATTAGCCTCAGATTTTTGCCTCAAGGAAAAAAATATGGTCTATTTTTATTAACTTGAATGCCATTACCCTGATTTTTTGGATAATTTAACATGAATTAAATATTAAATAATTAACCAAGCAGACAGTTATATAAATAACATGATCAAGAATATTATCCTACCAAGACAATAGACATAAATGCATAAACTTAATATTCATTTAAAAAATTAATGTTTAAAATAATGGGTAAGTTTTAGAAATGTTTACGCTAAGTAAGCTATCAGAAATGAATACTCTGGGGCCAGCAGGTGGCATGGTGGTTAAGGGTGCTGGACTCCCACATGGCTGACCATGGTTCAACTTTTGGAGCTGGTGGCTTGCTTTCTCACTTTCCCTCTTTCTCTCTCATACTGTCCCTCTCTGGTTAAATAATTAAATAAATAAATAAAGCTAAATAAATTCTTTAGAAAAAGAAATGAATGCTCTAAGTTTCTTTGCTATGGAAACTTGATTCTTATCCTTTGTCTATGGGGTCCAAAAGTATATATGTCATTACTCCATGTTAATTGAATTAATGATGTTCTTTAGCAAATGAGTTTTTCTTTCAAATGTAAAAGTCTTAAGAGGAGTGAGTATAAAGAGCCACACATGACAGTAAAAAACATTTTTCTAGGCCTTGGGAGTGACCACATTTGCACTGGTCTTTTTGGGCACTTCTGCCATCTGACCTCCCAAACCTGACACATACAGTTTGGAGGAAAAATTAAATAACTGCTCAATAGAGTGGGTACTTCATTACTTCTTCTGTGAAATGTTACATAAGTTGATTATTTTATGCTAGCATATGTATTCTCATTATTTTTAAAAATGTCAGTCAATGTGTATGGGTGTGTGTATATATATCATGCATATATCCATGTGTGTGTGTGTATAGTTGTGTGTGTATATATATACACACACATATATACACAACTATACACACACACATGGATACATGCATACACTAAGCACTGTGCCTAGTTTTAGAGGCACAAAGATGAGTAAGACAGGGTTCTTATCCTCCTAGGAACTCATGGTCTCATAGGGGAAACAAACACATAAAGCAGAGGGGCAGAGAGGGACCATGAAGAAATAAAGCTGCATTTCATTTAAAACAGTCATTGTCTTCTTTTTTTCGACACTCAACTATTTGTTTATTTTATTAATATTTTAGTTAGCTTTGTATGTGCATGTGTTGGGTTTAAACATGGTGGACAGTGCATGTGAGCAAGACCTAGTCCATGCTTTCAAAAGTTTATGCTTAGAAGAAATGAGACACAAAGATAACTATTATAAAGAACTGATTGATATGGGCACTTTGAGGTATAAATGATTTCTAGAGCAGTACAGAGGAGGAAGACTTCCACAGAGAGAGATCGGGGGATGTTACTAGAGCCATGCTGTTTGAACAGGACCTCAAAGGGCCATCGGGTATCATCAGACACCTTGGTGAGAATAGTCTAGGCTTGCCAAAGCAAAGAAGAAGAAGGGCAAAACATCTTTCAGGAAGTCTTTTAGGATGCCATGAATACCTGTAGAGTACAAGGGTAGAAAGTAAGACACTGGAGTGAGATATGGGCTTTTAATGCCAAACCAAGGAGCCATGATGGGGAACCACATTATCTTCGCAGGGCTCTAAGACAAACGAGCCTCTGTGTCATTAGTCTCATCACTTGACAGGCTCTCTAGAACTGGGTTCTGGACCCTGCCCGGACAGTAATTGATTTAGTCGGTCTGAAGGAGGGTCAAAAATTTGCATCTTCAGAAGTTCACAGGTGATGCTGGTCCTTGATGACCACTTCGGGATCATCTATCTGGTGATGGTGCTGAAAGGATTAGAAAGGGAGAGATGGAGACAACTGTCAGAGGACAGAAACACCCTTCCTCCAGGTCAAAAGTGACAAGCAGGCTGGAATCCATAGAAGTAAGTGTCAACTGCAGTGAAGATGGGTGTTCTCAAATTTTAAAATACCCAGTTCCATCTTGTTTTTTGTTGTCCCACCACTAAAACTGAAGAAGTTACTTCCATGGAATATGAAGGCAGTATTAAACCAGAGTGTCTTCCTATTAATACAATACAAAGTATGATTCTGAATTAGTTCAAAGTTATATATTAACTAGAGGAGTAATTTCCTTTCAAATGAAGTGAAAGATATGTTTTATATCTTCTGGTATTGAATGACTTAGTAAAAGAGAACCAAACTAGGAAGGTACATAAATGCGAGAAAATTCTTTTAATATTACAAATCAAATAAGTGATGAAAAACATTGAACTCATAATCTAGAATTTGATGAGACTACAAAATGTCATCTAGTCTGTTTTTCTGACCTTGGAGATGATTACCTCCTAAACCTATCAAGATCTGTAGTTGTATATTTCATTTATCAAGATCAATAATGTGAGACTCTTAGGAGAGGTATAGGTAGGGTTAGGGGCTCTCAAAAGCTCAAATGCAAGTTCAGGCAAAACTATGTAGTCATTATCAGTTCTAAACTCTATGTTATTTCTATTAATTAGATGTAATAGCTAATCAAGGCAATATTTTCCTTCTCTTTTTTTCGTTGAGACTTATCCTGCAATAAAATATAGTCGATTGAGAGAGGTACATTTGAGGCACTACCGTTTTTGAAGTTTGTGTAAGTTACCATTATAACTTTATTATACTTGAAATTTTTATGAAACTTAAGTAAAAACCTCTAAAATATGATTAAAATTTTACCTGTAGGAAGTTACTAAAATTACATAGAAATCCTCTTCATCTCTAACAAAGATCAGTGTAAGAATTATTACACAGGTCAGAGTAAGTCATTATAGACCGGTGGTTCTCTGCTGGTGTGATTTGGTACCCGGGTGACTTTTGGCAATGTCTGGAGACATGTTGGGTTGTCACAGCTCTGGGTGTGCTACTGCACCTAGCAGGCAGAGGCCAGGGATGCGGCTAAACAGCCTGCTATGTAGAAGACAGACTTGTACAACAAAGAAATATTCAGCCCAGAATGTTGACATCTTGAAGTTGTGAGATTCTGTTTTAAAAAGTCAAGATCACTCAACACCAGTATTTATTGAGCATTCACTGTTTCAGATCTAATGTACCACATGTGTAAATACGCAAGTAAGCCAGTGTCTTCCACAGTGAGATTTCTGTAGTGTATGGAAAAGGTACTAAAATTATGTTTTATCGTATATAAATTAAACTCATTGCCAAATGATAAATGTTCTGAAATAATATATTTCTTCTTCTTTGGCTTATGTCTTTTTTTTTTTTTGTAGAAATGTTGGTTGTAATTTAATCACAGAAGTGAGCTTCGGAACATTTCAGGCCTGGCATGAGATGCAGTTTTTTCTTTTTTTGGAGAGGTTTTTGCTATAGGGTGCGTGCGCTCACCAAACAGACAGAGAGAGACAGAGAGACAGAAAGCGAGAAATCACCCCCCCGGGGGTATGGCCACGCCACCATCTCTTCTCCTCCATTTTCTTCTCGGGATCCTGGGCACGCACGCACACGCGCCTGGCGTGAGTTTAAGCCACTGGGTCTGGGATGGATAACCTTTATAAGTAACTTGGTGTTTCTCTCATGCTAAATTTAGTGTCTTGTCTTTGTCTGTAGATTTGGCCAGTCTGGCTATGATGGGCCTTGGAGAAGATCATCTTGGGCTGATTCTATGTGGGGTCCTTTGTATTTCTTGGGTCTGGATATTTGAATGCCTCTCTAGATTTGGAAAGTTTTTTTCCCCAAGATTTCATGGAATAGATTATCAATGCCCTTATAAGTTTCTTAAACTATATTTTTTTGGAGAGGTTTTTGCTATAGGGTGCGTGCGCTCGCCAGACAGAGAGAGAGAAAGTGAGAAATTATCCCCCAGTGGGGATGGCCACGCTGCAATCCCTTCTCTTCCATTCTCTCGGGATCTTGGGCACGCACGCACACGTGCCCGGTGCGAGTTTAAGCCACTGGGTCTGGGACTCGAACCATGGTCGACTACATGGGAGTCCAGCAACATAGCTATTACACTAACTGCTGGTCCCCAGTTTCTTCACTTTCTGGGATACCGATATCCAGATGTTTGGGTGCTTAATGCTGTCTAGTATTTCTATAGTATTCTCGTTTTTTGGGGGTTATTTTCAGTTTTTTTGGTTGTTTTTCTAGATCTGAAGT